GGCGAGGCTTGGAAATGCCCAGGACTCCAGGAAGCTCCGTGGGCCCCCGGGAGGCTGGCCATGGCCGACTTCAGCCAGCCCTGGGCCTTGTACTGCAGGGTCAGCCATTGGCCTTGGTGTCCTGCTCAGGGGTGGGCAACCTGGGACAGCTACAGCTCCTCCTAGAATCTTGCTGAGTGTGGAGCCAGTGGAATCCTCAGACTAATTCTGCTAGGTTCTGGGCTTCTTGGCTTCACCTCCCCCCCACCCTGGCAGTCCTAACAGAAAATCAGCAGCAAAGGGAAGGTGGGCCTTTGCAGAGGGGCAGCAGCCTGGCCTAGCACCCTGTCTTCTTTGCTGCCCAGCACTGCTCATTGCCATGCTGAGTGGTCGCCCGGTAGCCCCTGGGCGCTGCCACAGAGTTGGGGAGGTTCTACCTCTGTGGGTTGGAGGAGGGGCCCTGATGAATGGCTCGTTAAAGTCCCACTGCTGCCACATTCCCAGATGCTTAGGTCACCTCTCAAACAATGTCTGTCATTCATGCAACCCAGCCTCCCCACATCCTGGCTGCTGGGAGGGTCCCTGTGACACAGGAAGTACATTATGACCAGCCATGCCAGGCCCCTTCCCGCAACACACAGCAACAAAGCGGGGCTAGCCCTTTTGCCCCTGCGCCTCTCCTGTCCCAGCTGACCCCGACAGAAGATGAGCCACAAGGTCTCTTTCCCTTTCCAGCCCCTCTCCCCGGCCCCATCACGCCCTGTGCCACTGTGGCAAGCAGTGAACGCTCCAGCGAGCGCCTGCAAGCAGGGGCAGTCACTGGCTCTTCTCTGTTCACACCTTTCCTCCCACCCCACCCCCCAGATAGGTGCAGGATCCCTTCAAGGGGGCAGCAGTAGGCAGGCCAGGAACTTGGGGTACAGCTGGGGCCTTTGATGGCTCTTGTTTTCTGCCTGGGCATTATGGAGTGTAGGTCCACTGAGTGTTGGCTCTGTAACCCTGGGCAAGTTGTAGATCTGCTTCCTGCCTCAGTGTCCTGGTCTTGGGTGGGAGGTTTCAGAGGGACCAAGTGGTGAAGAGCTGGCAGCTGCCATGGAAGCACCTTTAGCGTGTGTGCGTGTGTGTGTATTTGTGTCCGTCCGCCTCCTCCGTGTGGTACTCGGTGCTGGACAGGCGAGTGCATCGAGTGCCTTTCAGGTGAGGTGCTGGGCACACAGCCACACGCACCTGCTGGTCAGAGTTGAGATTGCCCCTGGATGAACCCCTTCTTCTTTGCTGTCGCCCATAACTGTGGTTTCTCCCAGATGATGTCGAGGCATTGAGTTGGTATTTTCTGGGCAGGACTGGCATCCTGACTACCAGACCCAGACTTGGACCCTGCGTGTGCCTTCCTGTTCCTGCCGGAGGGAACCACTTTCTCTCGGGCTCTTTCCTCTGCTGTCTTCCCGCACATCTCGCCTTCCCCTAAGCGTGCTTCTGTGCCCTCCCTGCCTCTCCCCAGCTGGACTTGCCCTCCTGCGGGAGGGGAAAGGCCCCCATGCTCTCATCTCACTGGCATCTCTGTCACTCACACGGCGCCTAGGAACCCCTGGCTTGGAGTCCCACTCAGTGACAGGACGGGAGCGCCTGGCCCTTGTTCCTGTCACCACTTCTCTGAAGGGTTGAATTAGTGACTCTGCTTGTCAGATGAGAGTGGACCGGCCTTGGATTGTCACTCAGCAGGCACTTGTTGAATGAGTGACTGTGTCCCCAGCCCAGAGTGACCAGGACATCAGGGAGCAGTGGGGCCTAGTCTGTAACAAAAGAATTCTCCTGGTGGAGGGGCACTGGAGGCCTCTGTGTGAACCCCTGCAGGGCACGTGTTAGTCTAGGCCAGAATGGGAAAGGAAATACTTAGGCAGAGTGTTATTTTGGGGAGCAAGTAGAGAAAAGTGAATTCTTGCTGCACGAAGGGTTGGCCATCTGCAGGTCACTTGTCTGCACCCCCTCATCTTGCGTGTTTTCTGTGCCCCTGCCTGGGGCCTTGTGCGTGTCTGGGGTGTCTGCTCACCTTCTAGGAGGGGAAGACCAGGCTGACCCAGGCATGGGGTTCCCCAGCCTTGCATCATGTGGAGACCAGGCTGAGCTGGGCATACTCCCAGGCACCTGCTCTGTGTTCAGTGTGGGGCTCTGTCTGCCTCCAGTCAGCGAGATGGAGCTTGTGGCGTAGTTACCGCTTATTTAAAAATAGGCCTGCCTTTGACACATACGTAACACCAAGCACTCACGGTGTGCTTGGCGCAGTGCTGACTGATTTACCAGCACCCTTTTGTTTAATCCTCATCTTAAGAGGAGAGATTATGATCCCCATTCATCACCCAGGGAGTCAGGGCTTGCTGCTTGTCTGAGGCTGCTGCTGCTGCTGATGGAGGTAGCCAGGGCGGAACTCGCACCTGGCTCTCTGTGACTCCCCCCGCCCCACGCACACGGGCCAGAGCGCTCGGTTGCGACCCAGAGAAGGTGTGTGAAGGCTGGATGTGGGTTTGGAAGGGAGCTAGTACTGTGGCCACCGTGTGGACAGATGGGACTGGGCGAGGTTCCTTAGGAGCCTCCACAGGCCCAAGTTGCGGATGTGGCCTGCAGAGGGTCTCCTGTGATGCCCTGTTCTGTCCAAACCACTGGGCAGCTGGGGCTGTTCCTGTGTTTGCTGGGGAAGCAGCAGCCTGTGTGTGAGTGTGAGAGATGTTTTAAATGCATTTCCCACCCCCAGCTTAATCGTCCAGAACAACTGCAGGAGGAAGAATCTGATATGCTCATTGGACAGAAAGGAAACAGGCTTCAGTAAGCAAAGTCAGCTGGTTGGAAACAGCGGGCGAGCCAAGGAGCTGCCTCTCACAACTGGGTTCATGCGCCTACAGAGCGTGCAGGAATTGTCCCCGCTGGCCAAAGCAAAGAGGGCACCTGGAGGACGTGTGCCCGGCCCTCCTGCACACCAGGGACCCAGCTCTGGGTCCTCAGCAGCACCGGAAATGCCCTCTGTCTCAGGTTGTGAGCTGTGGCTTGGCCACTTCCTGCCTGGCCCAGACTGCTGCACCCCCTGGGCTGAGGAGGTGGACTGTGCTGCGGGCATGGCACAGGAGACGTACTTCCCCAGCTCGGGGCTTGCTCGTGGGCACGCACAGCATATCTGTTGAGATGAAAAATAAGTAGGTGATGCCTCCAGGGAGAAGCAAGGGCGGTGTGATGGCTGGGGCAGGCAGGGGCGCCAGGGAAAGCACTCCGCGGAAGCCGTGGGCGAGGAGGGGAGAGACCAGACCCTACAAGGTGTAACACTGGCACTTGCTGAGTGCTTCCACCCACCCTGCAGGAACTGCCCCTGAAGTCTTTGCTGACCAGGACCCAGCACGAAGTAGGTGTGAGGAAGCTCGAGTCACCTGGCCACGGAAGTAGTGTAACTGCTGTACTCGGCCTGGTCATTTCGACTTCCCAGTGAGGTGGGGGAGGTGCGTGGATATGGCACTGCTTGTGGTCCAGTCTCTAGGACACTGACAGGCCTGGGGTAGTCAGGAGAGGCCCAGAAAAGGGTGCCCGGCTGGGATCCATGCCACACTGGGCACGGGGAAACCCAGAGCACCTGCATCCTGCAGAGCTGCCTGATGGCTGCTGGTGGAGGGCTCAGTGGTAATTCCTTGGTGAGGTGGAGGCAGGGCAGAGGCCTCCAGAGTTGAGGAGGCCAGCATCGCACAAGCAGCAGGGGTCTCCACTTCCCAGGCAGCTGAGCTTGCCACGTTGGCAGGGCATGGCACGGCATGGGGGAGTCTGGCTGCCTTTGCTTGCCCCTGGTTGGGCTTGGAAGGAAGCTCTGAGTGGCATTCCACACTGTGGTGCAGTGTGCTAATTAGGTGGCGTCTTTGTCTGGGAGGGGTTTATGTTGAGGCTCCGAGTGAGCAGGGATGGTGACAGTTGTCAAAACACACAGTGCCTAGCCAGAGGGTCCAGGGAGGCCCCTGGTGCCCCACATGGCCCCCACCTGCATCCTCGCGGTGGAATGTGCTTTCGCCCATCCTGGCCATCTGCCCGCTTCTACACCAGCCCCTGCAGATGGAGGAAGCTGGGCAAGGCGCAGGGGGCTCTGTGAGAAGCTGGGGCTTGGGGCTTTTCCCAGGCCCTGCTGCAGGAGGGGCAGGGGCTGCTTCCCCAGCTGATGGCTGGGGGTGTGGGTGGAGACTGAGGTAGGTCTCAGTGGCTCCCTGTCCTGGACTTGCTACCCTCCCTGGCAGTGAGGTGGGGTTTGGGACTTGGGCTTCTGGTATGGGGCCCTACATGCCAGAAAACCTCTTTCACCTTCACCTTGCAGCTGACCCTGCCTCCTGGCCCTGCTAACATGCATTGGGTCTTAAGATTTGAAAGAATGAGATGTGAAACATTCTCCAAGGGTGAGAGAAGCCAGGGTGTTGGGGAACGCTTCCCTGGTGTTTCAGGGAAGAGCTTGATGCTGGGTCACCCAGCTCACAGAGAGGCATAAGGAGACTCTGACTGTTCAAGCGGCTCTTCCTTTCCAGCTGTCTTCCTGTCCCAGGCCCTGGCTGTGTGCTGAGGATGGGAGAGTGACAGCTACAGCCTCCACTTGGGGCAGCTGGGAGCCATGGGCTGTCTGGGTAATGAAGGACTCGGGGTGTGTCACCCAGAGAGCCCACACTAGACAAAAGCAGGCACCTGCCTGACAGATGGGTCCCCGGCTCCAGCATCCTGTCAGGGCTGCCTTGTGGTGGTGCCTTCCTTCTGCGTTAGGTCCCCACACGGCAGGAGGGAGCACCTGCTGCAGAGCTTGGCAGACTCGGGGTCAAATCCACGCCCTGCCTGCCCATCGCTGCCTGCCCAGGTCCTTGGAAGAGTGCGAAGGAGTGTTGCTCCAAGGGTGGCGTCTGGGGCCTGGCCAAGAGCAGGGACCCACCGAGGTGGTGGCTGTGGCCTGGGGCTTTAGTTAGAGCATCCCAGCAGGCCGGTTCACCCTGTATGCCACCCTCTGCTCTGCTTCCCAGACCTTCACAGCCTGGTGCAATTCCCACCTGCGGAAGGCGGGCACACAGATCGAGAACATCGATGAGGACTTCCGAGACGGCCTCAAGCTCATGCTCCTGCTCGAGGTTATTTCAGGTGAGGCTCTCGCCAGCCCTGGGGCACCCCTCCACCTGGTGAGCCAGCGCCCAGGCACAGCAGCCCCTGCAGGCGCACCCCTTCACCCCGCCTGACCTCGACTGCAGAGCTGACCTGTGGAAGGGGGGGCGGGGGCCAGGGCAGCCTGGCCTGGGAGCGCAGCGGAGATGCTAAAAGCGTCGGTCTCTCTGAATGCCTCTCTTCTCTACACGCATCTCAGGGGAGCGGCTCCCCAAGCCGGAGCGGGGCAAGATGAGAGTGCACAAGATCAACAACGTGAACAAAGCGCTGGACTTCATCGCCAGCAAAGGCGTCAAGCTGGTCTCCATCGGGGCGGAAGGTGAGCTGGGGCCCATGCTACGGGGCTCTCGCCTGTCTCCCAGGGACAGCACCCATGTTTCTGGACAGGGTGGCTTTGTTGGCATAGCAGCCCCCCAGGGAGCTCAGGACCCCAGTATGTGTGCAGTGGCTGCCCTGGGTGTGACGTGGGGTCTCCCCACCCGCCTGCCAGGGACAAGCTGCTGTTGGTGCTGCGGGGTGGGAGGGGAGGCAGTAGGGGATAGCTGGGACTTGAACCAGAGCCCCTACATCCTCTCCTCTGTTGGTCTCAGCAGCCAGGCCCGGACACACAACTGTCACCTCTGTGCAGAGAGCCCCTTTTGTCACTGGGCTCTGCCTGGCAGACTCAAGGGGACGCTATTGCCCAGGGCTGGGAGAGCCTGGCCTCTGACCACTCAGACCCACCCCCCAGGCAGTGGGCTTGGGGCAGGACCCCCAGAAGAGCTCCCAAGCGCTTCAGGAGATAAAGCAAAGCCTAGGGGAGCCCAGACAGCCACCGCCTGCAGCTTAGCGCCCAGTCCTGCTCTCCAGTCAGAGCGGGTTCTTGTCCTGACAGCCATGTTGTCCCAGCTTTGAGAAAAACAAAGAAAACTAATTGCTGCTAATGACAGGGCTCCCAGAGTTTGGCCAAGACTTGAAGCCGGAATGTGTGTGCCGAGTTCCAAGGCCCTGCCCCGGCCCGGGACCTCTGCAAGATGGGTGCCAAGCCTTGCATGCCACGGTCGAGGTGGTTGGTGTTTGTTTAAAAAGAAAAGAAAAAAATCAAAACTCCCAAATTCCATCAGGCCCTGAGATTTTCTGTCCTTGCACGGTCTTTTCCCCTGGGCTGCGCTCCAGCCTTCTGCCGCGCACAGCTGCGTTTATTTTGCTCCAGTGCTGGTCTTGTAAATACAGACGGGTTAGAGGAGGGGCCCCCGGCAGCCGTCGCTTTTCATCTAGAAGAAAATTCTGTGCAGACGTGCTGTCTGTTCACTCCCCATCTCAGTGACCTCCAGGCCCTGGGAAGGAGCTGGAGGACAGCCGGGGTGAGACACCGTTCCTCGATTTGGAATACCTGAGAGCCGTAACCCCTGCTGCTGCTGCCCGGGACCAGCAGTGGCAGGCCTCACCATGGGGGTTGGGAGAGACAGCAGAGCTGGAAGCAGCGGTGACGGACATGTCCTGGGAGAAGCGGACTCTCCCAGGTCCCTCTGTGACCAGTGTGCACTTGTAGCAGGCTGGCACGAGCCAGGGGTGGAGCTGTGGCGTGGCCTTCAGCTTGTGCCCTGGGAGGCCCACAGATTTCTCTGGACAGGCCCTGCTGTGCCCTGTACTGGGAATGGGTAGGGCCCACGGCAGCTGCCCGGCCCTTTCTGCCTCTGACAAGCAGTGTGCCTTCCCTCGTCCTAGAAGCCATGAGCCTGGTGTCCACCCTGGCAGCTGCCCCTCCATGGTGAACAGAGCCCATTCCTGTCCTCTGACAGTGTGCCCTGGGAAGGGGGCCCAGTCCCCTGAGATATCCCACTCTACCTCCTCCCGAGTCCTGTTCCCAAATGTCAGAGGAAAGGTGCCCTGCGGTGTCTGACCTGCACCTGCGCTCTACAGTTGACCTTGAACTTGCACCTCCTCCCAGCCTCTCCCCTCAAGTGCCCATACCAGGGGACCCCTTTAACTAGTCATAGTCCCACCCTTTCTTCTAAGGAAGACACAGTCCAGCCGAGGCGTTGATAGCCCTGAGCCAAGGCAGAGGGAGCAAGGCCTTTTGTCGGGGAGTTAGGAAAGCCATTTGCAGAGGTGGCCCAATCAGGGACCCTTAGGAGACCTGCCTGTCTGAGAGGAGAGGCAGGGGTGCTTTGTGGACAAGCCTCGAGTGCTGGCCAGACACAGTGCAGATTGGGGCAATGGAGTGGGACCAAGGGAGTATTCCCCCCCAGGTGCGGGAACCTTCAGCAGAATGGGGGCACAAGTCTTTTTCAAGTGACAGCCTCTGTGTCAGGAAGAGAGGCATGGTACCCTGGGGGAGTCCTGGGTAGGTGGTGACAGGGGCCAGAAGAGCTGGGTGTTCTCGGAGAGCTGTGGTGCGCACATGGCCACTGGCTGAGGCTGGGACTGGCCATAGGACGCCACTCAAGTCACAGAATAGGGAAGGCTGTGGGGCAGGCCTCTGAGGCCAAGCCACCAGAGGGGCCGGAGCCTTCTGGAACCAGGAGACCCATGTATGGGGAAGGCTGAGGCCCGGCTGCAGTGTCCTTGGTAACTAGGCTGTCAGGTCTCCTCCCAGTGAGGTGAGGCCCGGGTGGGGCTGGGGGGCCGCTTAGAGGGTGAGCTGAAGTTGGGTATCCTGGAGTAACCACCCTGTCTCCCCACCCACGCCCCTGCCTGCAGAGATCGTAGATGGCAACGCGAAGATGACGCTGGGCATGATCTGGACCATCATCTTGCGGTTTGCTATCCAGGACATCTCTGTGGAAGGTGAGACAGGAGCGCAGGGACACTCCCCACCCCACTCCCGTTGGCCTTGCCCCTGGAGTTGGGATGAGCTAGAAGAAGGCCTGAAATTCTGCTTCGCTGGGGGTAACTCACAGTTGAACTTGACCACAGGAGCAGTTACTAGTGCCTGCTGGATCAGGTTGCTGGTGAAGAGAGGCCCTCCTAAGCCAACCCCACCTCCACAGCCTCTTCTGCCTCAGATGCTCACCCAGAGTCAGACCCACCCTTCCCTAGGGAAGGTCCATTCAACAGCCCAGCACCCCAAGTCCTGAGCCAGCCGGCGCTCAGAGTTGGTCATGGGTCCGATTCTCCTCACTCAATGCCCCTGTCCTCAGGCTCTTTATTTACTAATTTACCTGAAATACAGGGATTCCCCAAATAGCCTGCAACTGTTTGAGCTGGCTTGGCTGAGGCCAGGAGCTGGAAATTCCATCCGTGTCTCCCATATAGATGGCAAGGACCCATCGCCTGAGCCCTTACCTGCTATCTGCTAGTGTACATATTAGCAGGAAGCTAGAACTAGCAGCAGAGGCAGGACTTGCTCGTGGGCGTTATCATAGGGAATGTGTGTCTCCCAAGGGACACCTTATCCACCCCCAGCCTGGCCTCTGCCTCCATCAACCATGAGCCCATGCATGCTGGCTCAGTGCAGTGAGTAGGACACATGTGCCTCCTGCCCTTGAAGAGCTGTCAGTACGGGGACAGCTGTGGGGCAGCAGAGGCCTGCCTGGCCTCTCCATCCCTGAGACCATGGCCAGAGCTGGAAGACCCCAAGTAGCCCAGGCCTAGGGCTCCTGTCCATAGCTTATTCTTCATTCTGCTTACAAGAGGCTAAGGCCAGTGTCAACGGCCAGTTTATCAGTATATTCTGGAGGGCAAAGGCACAGGCTTTGTGACCAGAGGTGGGGCTTGGGCTCAGGAGCCAACACAGCCACTTTCTAGCTGCCCTGGGTGGTGGTTTCTTCTTTGGCCACAGTGAAGCCAGGCTGTGCGTGTTAGCATAGGGGTGGGATCTGGGTAGGATCCGTGCACGTCTGCTGTTCCTCCCTCTTGGGTTCGGTTTGAACCCTGAGCCCGGGCCTAAAGGGACCATGTGGCTTGGGCTGGAGTTTGAGCTGATGTCCATGGTCCTTGTGTGTCTTGCAGAGACCTCTGCCAAGGAGGGGCTCCTGCTGTGGTGCCAGAGGAAGACAGCTCCATACAAGAACGTCAACGTGCAGAACTTCCACATCAGGTGAGGTGGGGCGGTGTGTCCCCAGACTGCCTCTTCCCCTCACTTCCTCGCAGGATCCCAGTGCTGCATTTTGTCCCTTGGTGCGCCCCTGGGTGGTTAGTAGCTTGTGAGTGATCCCTCCGTCAGCGGCTCTCTCATGTATCCCCTTCCTCTTCCAACTGGCTGGCTCTCTTGTACTGGCCGGTTGTTGATGTATTCTGGGAAGGGCTGTCCTGGGGGTGCTCCTGCTGCTTCGGGCTGGGGAAGTGGCCAACACACTGGGGTGTACACTACCTACCTGTCAACCATGGTGTCCACGGGAGAGGGCAGTGCTGTATAGGCCAGTGGACGGGACAAGGCCTTTCTCAGGAGCTGGCATTGAGCTTGACCCTAGAAATAGCCAGTCTTTGGAGTGTCTCGGAGTAGAGTATGGCCAGGTTCGAGTGTCATCTCGGGGGAGTTGTTTTCTTCAGAGACCTCAGGCCAAGCCGTGTCCTGGAACTAAGAGCCTGTGACATGTCCCTGCCTGCATCAGGCTGGCAAGGCGAGGTGCTCCCACAGCCCTGTAGTGGGCCAGTTACAGATAGAAGGGGCTGCTCCTGCAGCAGACGTGGGTACAGCACCCCAAGGAGTGGTGCTGTTAGTGCCCCGCGCCCCACAGAGACAGACTTCCTGTCTGCTGGCTCACTGCCCACACACCTATGGCAACCTTGACTGGGCCACCTGGCATTGGGAGCTGAGAATGCAGGCCACAGCTCCCCTGAGGGCGGCAGGGTCCCAGCCACCTGAGCCGCTTACCTGCTGCCTCCGCGGGACTCAGTAACAGGAAGCTGCCATGTGGAGTGGAGCTCTCCAGCGTGCAGAGCAGATAGCCCCTGCGGCAGCCTAGGCAGCAAAGGTCACCTCTGCGGTCCCCAGTTTACCGGCACAGAAACTGAGGGAGCAGATTTGGTGACTTGTTCGAGGCCATAGCGTCAGCAAGTGGAAGTGCAGCACTTGAACCCGGTCTGCCTCCAGAGGTCACTCTCACAGCCACTCTCCTGCTTCTTTGTGCCTGGCGCCCACCAGCCCTCAGTAAATGGGCATTAAGACTTGCCGTGGGTGCCCGGGTGCTGCACCCCTACGACACCAAGTGCCCGCCTCACGGACTCTACCATTGCATCCACAGCTGGAAGGACGGCCTTGCCTTCAATGCCCTGATCCACCGGCACAGGCCCGAGCTAATCGAGTATGACAAGCTGAGGAAGGTAAATGTCTCGCACCCTCGCCGTGGCTCCCAGGTCCCCTGCAGCAGATGCTCGGTCTCTGGACTGCCATCCCCGAGGCCGTGTGTCACCAGCCTCCAGAGTCAGAAATTCCGGCCAGATGCTCGGGCTGGGGGAGCCTCTGGCCAGCTTTGCCCGGGCCTCTGCGTGGCAGCTGCCTCTGCCTCCCTTATTCTCCTACGGGCCATCCCGTCTCCGTTCGTGGGCATTGCTGGCAGCCAGGGTTATTTTAGGGCAGGCCAACCTTGCCTTTCAGCACCCATTCCTTGACCCTCTGGGTTCTGGAAATATCGGTGGGGAAGAGAATAAGAAATTCAGATCATTCATGCTGGCTAGCACTTCCCCTGCAAAATTCTCCTCCTCTTTTACTGAAGTTAGTTTATTTGCTTGAAAGGCACCGAAAGAGAGATACACACACACACGCAAGCAGAGCTTACATCCACTGCTTTACTCCGATGCCTGCAGCATTCATCTTGCTCTCCCCTGTGGATGGCAGAGTCAGCACTCTGATACAGCTGTTGAACCTGTTGTACCACATCGCCGGCCCCTACACTCCTCATTTGCCTGCAGAGCATGTGCGAGCCAGTCCCTGGCCTCCAGGGCCACCCGGCCTCATGGGGAAGGCAGGAGAGCGGTGGGCAAAGCAAACCAGCTACATAAGGCCTTGCACATACGCTTGGGCCCAGGGCTTTGGGGGTGAGCACAGGTCAGACAGACACTACAGAGGAAGGGTGAAGCCAACCCCCTAACTGGGGTGACCAGGAAAGGCCACGTGGGGGTATCATTACTTAGGTGGGGAACCAGCCTATTCGTGCCGGAGAATGTGAAGGGGGCTCTGGCTGGAGGTGGGAGGAAGGAAGTGAGGAGGGTTGGGATGCAGAGCCTTCCAGCAGGGAATCCCGTGGGCAGTGGCACTGGGACAGGGTGGAGGGACATTTGAGGGGTTGGGGTTTGGGAGCTGGCGGTGGGTCTGAGGCCTGAGGGTGGTGGGAGATTGTGGGAAAAGAACGCACCTGTTTTCTGGAGCAGGAGAGGTCTCGCAAGGCATTCCCGTGATTAGAATTTTTATCCAGGGTGTGTGCCCCATCTGCCCACTTGGCACATGTGGTTCGGGGAGGACCTGAGAGACCCTCCCTGGCACCCCCGACTCCAGCCCAGAGCCCAGTTCCTGTGCCCTCCTGCGGTTAATCCTGACACATTTTTTTTTTCCCCTCTCCCTGCCTCCACAGGATGACCCAGTCACCAACCTGAACAATGCCTTTGAGGTGGCCGAGAAATACCTCGACATCCCCAAGATGTTGGACGCAGAAGGTGAGTGTGTCCGTCTGCTCTGTCATTTCTCCCAGGGCAGCCTTGGGGAGCCGGAAGGACTGAGCAAGTCTCAGGGGAGCCCGGGACAGTTATGTCGCCTGGGAGCCAGTGCTGGACAGCCTCGGCTGGCCACATGTCTTCAGGAATGGGGAAGGATGGAGGGGGGTGGGAGTGGGGAGATCGGCCCCCTGGGGGCTACATGTCAGGCCCCAGCCCAGGGAGGGCCGAGCTGGCCGCCAAGGGCCGCCGGCTCCAGGCTTCCTGCACACCACGTGGGTGTCCCCTCCTTGCCTGCAGCCCGCCAAAGTGGAATATTTTGTTTTTTCCTTTTCCGGCTTTGTTCCATTTCCCAGTTGCATACCCGCCCTGGTTGAGGCCTGAGGCTCTGGCCTGTTTGCTGGCACTTGTACTTGACTGTCCAGCCGCCCCTTGAGGCCACTCTTGGAGAGAGGAAGTGGCCTCCTTTCAGTCCAGTTCCCACAGCCTTAGCCTTTGCAGAGACCATGGGGGCGGAGGAACGGGCCCATTCACAGGTGTCCCGGAGCCGTCTGTGAGGGTCCATCCCCAGGAATGGCCGTGGCTCCAGCATCATCAGCCTGTGGATCCCGCCAAGCGGCAGCTCCCAGCCTCCCGGCCCTCACTTGGGCAGTTTAACCCTTGTCGTTCACTTACAGACATCGTGAACACAGCCCGGCCCGACGAGAAGGCCATAATGACCTATGTGTCCAGCTTCTACCATGCCTTTTCGGGAGCGCAGAAGGTACCAGGCAGGGCCAAGCCGGCCCTCCACACCGCCACTTCCCAAGCAGCTGCTGCCTCTCGACTCCCATGCTCGCCTCGTTTCTCTTGCAGACAGTAGCGGGCACTCTCCGACTGGAATCCAAACCCCCGGCCTCCTAACACACACACACACGCACACGCACACGCACACACGCACACACACTTTCTGTCTCCTTGGTGTCACTGCTCTCAGTAAAGACCCACAGGGTGTGTGCCAGGCCCTGGGGGTGCAGTAGTGACAGTCAGCCAAAGGGCTCTGCTCTCCAGGGAGTTTATGTCACCAAACCACATTGTCACAGGTCTGGGGTGGCCTCAGGCAGGGCAGCCACGACAGGAGTGAGCTAGAGTTGCCTGGTGAATTCAGTGGCCAAGGCAACGCAAGCGCAAAGGCCCTGGGGCCGGAACAGGCCTGGGGAGCAATGAGGGTCGTGCAGGACAGCCATCACCTGGGCTGTGTTCTTAGGGCCTCACAGGTGACCGTGTGTGACATGGTCCTCCGTAGATTTCCAGAAAGATCAGTCAGCATGTGAACCGTCCCACCAAAGCCAGCTTCCTCTGTGGGGGCAGTGGTTGGTCTGGCTCCCTCCCGCCCTCGTCCCCCCACTGGGCCACGCGCCGGCAGGACACAGCTCACGGGCCTGAGCTGGGACCTGGCTTCCAGTCGAGAGTGAGCGCTGTTCCTCCTGCATGAGCCTGGGCCGCCCGGCCTCCACCTGCGTCTTTCACTCTCTCCTCCCTCTCTCTCTCTCTCTCTCTCTCTCTCTCTCTCTCTGCGCAGATATTGTGGGCACTCTGAGGCCAGATGAGAAGGCTATCATGACTTACGTCTCCTGCTTCTACCACGCTTTCTCGGGGGCTCAGAAGGTGAGCTGGGCGGGCGCACTCCCCACCGCTGTGGCTGCAGTCCTCTCTGTCACCCTTGTGTCATCCTCGTGTCACCACCATCTCCATCTTCGGCTGGGGCTTCAGCCACGCTGTGGGCCTGCGCGAGCCGTGAGCTGAGTGCTGGTGTAGGAAGATGAGCTGGCAGAGGTTTCCCCGTGGTCACAGGGCCCCAGTGCTCCCCACAACTTGGCCAGCACTAACCCCGGGCCCTGGGAGGGTAGGCCACTGCGTGAGGAGGACACTGGGGGGCCCAGCATCGCCGCAAGTGCAGGGCAGAGAGTTGGCCCCTCGGCTGTCCTGCTGCCCTCTTTCCATGACCCACAGCAGCGCTGTCTGCCTACTGTGTCTTCTTGTCTAGGGAGCACCAGCCCTCCCGCTCCTCCCTGCAGCCCCCCGGCCTCCCTTGGGACTGTACCTGCTTACCCGGCTCTCCCTTACCATGTCATCGGGAAGCTAAGTTGCTGCCGTTCCCAGCGGCACCCCTCACGCCTCCTCTGAGCCTCCCCATGAAGGCTGGCCATGTCTGTTGCCTCCCTGGTCCCCCCAGATGTCTTGGGCAGTGAGCGGCACGTGCCTGCCAACTTGGTCCTGCTAATGGTGGCCAGTTGGCAGAGAGTGCTTGTCCTCAAGGCTTCACCCGCACAACAGGGTTCTAGAAGCCCCCCTGGGTTGGCTGGGTGTGGCTGGAGTGTAAAAGCAAGAGCTGTTCTAGCATTGTAGGGCACACCACACTTACTGCCCTCTCCAACCCAGGTGCCACTGGGCAGGCAGGGCTAAAACAGGGCCTGGCACCGTGAGGGCCCCATCAGTGGTGGGGGAGTTCTTGGGGTCTGTGGGCTTACCCTGCCTGGCCCTCAGCGAGAGGGTCAGTACCACAGCCATTTCCCTCTACTGGGCACAAGTGGAGCTTGTACTGCTTGCAGAGGGAGGGCACCACAAACCCCACTATAACAGAACGTTTGCCAGGGGACTCACCTCCTTGGGGGCCCCAGGCCAGCATCCCTGGTCCCACCTTACCCTCTCTGACTGCTCGCTTCTACCTGGAAGGCCCCTGTGTTTGGCACTGAGCACCTGCCTGGAGGTGCAGGGAGGCCCTAAGGGCCAGCAGGAAAGCCTGGCCGGAGCATGAGGCCTGACAGCCCCCCATGCCCTTGACCCAGGTCTCCTAGAAGGGAGGCAGCACAGGCCAGGCTGTCAGGAGCCTGCCTGCTCACAAAGGAGTGCCCTGGGCCAGGGGCCTTCTGCAAGGCCCAGGCCGCCCTCCCTGTGGCCCTTTCTCCAAGGCCCTGCCACTCTTCAGAGAGTGTGCCCCGGCTCGTGTTGCTTCATACACCCCTGGAGAACCCAGTCCCAGCGCCGAGTGCCCAGCTTGCTAGCTCCCCTGTAGTCACTTCATTCACGCATTCATTCTGAGCACCTAAAGCACCTCCGGCCCAGGGCTGCTGAGAGGCTCTGAGCCCACAGCATCTGTGCTGACGGCCTGGGGCCCACTTGTATGCTGCACCCTGGCTCTGCTGCCCTCCTGCTGTGGGTGCTGGTGGATTTTGGCTGAGGTCTTGCATGGCGCTGCCTGGGGCCCTCGCAGGGTGCATGCAAGTGGCCGCGGCTGCCGCGATCTCCCCAGCTGTCCCCGCTGGTGGGGGTGCCTGCCACGAGCCGGCTCCCCAGCACTCTGTTTTCCTTCCCCGTCACTCTGTAGACCCTCTTGACTCTCTCTGTTCCTGTTCTGTTGCGGTTCCAACTCCTCTCGGAGCCTTTCTGTGCCTCCTGAAAGGTACCTGCAGTCTCCTCGCCTCATGTGGCACTTCCTGTCTGCTCCGCACCTCACCCCGGCCCCCCAGCAGGATGTAGCAGGGCAGGCGTGGGGAGTTGTGGGTCAGAGGCTGGTTCCCCGCCCCCATGAGCTTGGTGGCAGTGCCTGTGAGGGGAGGAGGAAGGGGCCCAGCGTGCTCTGCCTGGGCCCAGGCCACTGGGCTCCACTTGGGCAGCTGCCCCAGTGGACCTGCTCTGGGGCTAGGGTAGGGCACAGGCAGGTCCAACACCCAGGGCCCACCGTGCTCGAGCTTTGCTGCCACTCTTGCCTCTTGTCGGGGATGGTGTACAGGATCACGGGGCCTGCTGCTTTCCAGGGCCGGGCCTGTGAGGAGGGGAGGGTTGCCAGCCCCTGCTGGCCCTCACCACTGGCCCATCCGTCAACACAGGCCGAGACCGCCGCCAACCGGATCTGTAAGGTGCTGGCCGTGAACCAAGAGAATGAGCACCTGATGGAGGATTATGAGCGGCTAGCCAGCGATGTGAGTAGAGGCTGAGGGCTGACTACGCTGCTGGGGCTGTGGGACCGTCTAGACAGATTGTACCCTGTGGAGTTGGGCCAAGCCAGTGTGACCTTTCTGTTTGGCCTCCAAAGGCTAAGGTCAGGCTGGCGGTCACCATGCCAACTGACCCCCAGTGTCTCGAGCATGAATACAGCCCTGGGCACTCACTGCCTTGGAGCTACCCAAGAGCTTTTGGAACAACCCTGTCCCAATGCCCTGCCTGGCCCGCTGGTCCTGAGGTGCATGGAGGATGCGGGCAGGACCGAGGCCTGTGCCAGCACTGCTTTATGGCTGGACCTGCTGGGTCTCCACAAAGGAGGCTCTTGGGCTGCTGGCTCCGGAAAGAATCAGACATGCCCAGCAGCCAAGCTTCAGTGGAGGAGGTGGTAGGAAGCCGTCATTTTCTGCATTTGTTTTTCAAGTGTTAGAAATCAACACGGTTGGAGCTCTCAGCATAGTTTGAGTACTGTCCGAGAGCCCCAGGTCCCCAGGCTTTGCAAGGCCATGGGCCAGGAAAACGTGACAAACCATTTGGCTTCCTGTTGTGCCCAGGTACAGACATTTTAGACAGCCAAAGTCTGTGACATCAAGACAAAGATGTGTGCTCGTCCTCTCGCTCTGCCAGGGAAGGTATTGGGCATTGCTGTGCCCACCTGGCATTGCTGCAGAATGTTCAGCTCAGTATGCCTTCCTTACCCTGTCTGAGATCTGAACAGCTCCTTGTCTGATGTCATTGTTTAGTCTTATATGCTAGACCCTCTGGGCTCGTGCTGGCTGCCCCAGGGTTGGCTGACCTGCCCTCAAGGCACCCACAGAACACACCTGTTGGTATTGAGGCTGCGGGGGCTTCCTGAGGAAGGTGTTTGGAGCTGGGCACGCACTCCCTCGGGTTAGCAGAGAGGCTGCCGAGAGCCCAGGTGTGAGCAGGAAGTAGCCAAAGAGCAGCACACACGGCTGTCCCCAGGAGACACATGCTCCCAGAAATGCCAGTGATGGGAATCGTGGGGTGGTTGGGCTGGGGAAGCTGCCCCGAGCACCCTGCGAAGGCTGCTTCCCGTGGGCCCGCAGCTGCTGGAGTGGATCCGGCGTACCATCCCCTGGCTGGAGGACCGCGTGCCGCAGAAGACCATCCAGGAGATGCAGCAGAAGCTGGAGGACTTCCGCGACTACCGGCGTGTGCACAAGCCACCCAAGGTGCAGGAGAAGTGCCAGCTGGAGATCAACTTCAACACGCTGCAGACCAAGCTGCGCCTCAGCAACCGGCCCGCCTTCATGCCCTCCGAGGGCAGGATGGTCTCGGTGAGCAGGCCAGGGGGCCAGAGGCGGAGCATGGTGTCGGGCCCACTGCATGACCCCACAAACTCCCGTGGGCACTCTGCTTGATGAGACTGGGCATTGGGGTGCAGGGGCAGGGTAGGGGTTTCCCCTGCAAGACCATTGCTCTTCCTGCCTTACACCAAGGAGTTTGAGCACCATCAGGCTGTGGTTTTAATGGGAACCCTGATTGGCCCTCACTCCAGGATCACCAAGCACCCAGAAGGTTCTTAGCTTGTGGCTTCCTTTGCCCCGCCCATGGTGTCCATCTACTTCATTCATTCCCCCCCATCCAGTTCACACAGAAGGACTGAGTGCATCTGAGTGCAGAGCAGGGCACAGCCTGGACCCCAGCCCATTTCCCTAGACTGTGTGTGTTTACCCCATGGGCACGCAGCCCCTGCTGGTATCCCTGCTCCCCGTGGCAGCCCTGCCCTCTCTGGTCCCCACAGGACATCAACAATGGCTGGCAGCACCTAGAGCAGGCCGAGAAGGGCTACGAGGAATGGCTGCTGAACGAGATCCGCAGGCTGGAGCGGCTGGACCACCTGGCTGAGAAGTTCCGGCAGAAGGCCTCCATCCACGAGGCCTGGACTGACGGTAGGCTGTCCCATGGCTTGCACCTTGTGGCCATGAACTTCACCCTGCACAGCTCATGCTGGATGGAACTGTGTTCATCAGCACATTGCTTAACGGCAAGGCCATGGAGCCACTGCTGGTTCTGCTGCCTGCTCTGCCAGGTGGCCGTGTCACATGGTCCACCCCAGGAGCTCCTCTTCGCCTCCTTCCCAGGGGCCCAGCACCCTGCAGGATGGCACCTAGTTAAAGGGCCCTGTGTCTTCCACATTAGCCCATTTGGCTGTTCCCAGCAGCAGCTGCCAGACCCAGGTGGAAGGTATCTTATGTACCAGGGAAGGATGCAAAGGGAAAGAAATGGAAATGGGACTGGGCACCAGATGTAGGCTCCTGCTCAGTCCTCACCCAGGGGTGCCCACTTGGGTTGCTGGGGTTGGCCCAGTGCAGGAAGGGAGCTGGCCCTATGCAGGGTTCCACAGAGGTGAGGCCCCTGGCCCAGGTGCTCAGGCCAGTGGATTTGCAAGGACCCTTGGGCACATAAGTGGGTGCAATGGCACCTGTGTCCCCTACTCACACCAGGTGCTTCATGCTGCCACCCGTGGGTCACGTCTCTGGCTATACGTCTGCCAGCAGGGCCACTGGCCTGTGTCATCAGCTGGCCCTGCTCACTTACCTAGGGATTATGGGGTGTTGTGTCAGCTGGGCCTCTCCTCCCTGGGAACAGCTCCAGGGCTGGCCTTTAGCCGAAAGCATTTGGAAGTCAGCTCACTCTCCAGTCTGAGCCCGACTGGTTCAACAACCTCTACGTACCCTTGCCCCACCCATGCCTGCCTGGTCACACACCTCCTGGTGACAGGTGCTCTGGCCGCTGTGTCAGGCCCAAGCCAGGCCAGCCCCCTCATTCCCAAGGCACAAAGCCTCTGTCCTCTGAACCACCAATTAGTTATGAAAGGCAGCAGGACAGGCTGGCACTGCGGCCCCTCTGCCCGGATGTGACCCACGGAGGACAGTCCCGGGGCGGGGCGGAGGCAAGCTAGGGCAGCTTGAGCTGCCCTAAGTCCATGCCTGCCTCACCAACCTGTGTGGCATGCAGGGTGTGAGGTTCGTATGGGTGCTTCTTCCAGGGCTTGGGTTGTCCCGGAGGCAGCCAAGCCCCAGAAGCCCCTTTCCTGCCTGCCCTTTGGCCTGAATCCCAGGCAGCTTGTAGGCAGCTCCGCCCCTCCAGTTCCTCTCCCTGTTGAAACTGCTGAGGCGGGGAGACGCTACCCTACTATTGCTGGTTCCCACCCTGGGGAGAAAGCAATTTGGAGGAGGGAATTGCAAGCTTTGCCGATGTGGTTAGGCTTTCTGCCCTGGGGCTGGGGTGGTGGAACCCACGGAGTCCAGCTCCCTGGCCTACCCCCTTGGCCCGCCAGTGCCAAGCCTTATGCTGGGGGCAGCTAAGATGTGGACGGTGCTGGCCCCGCCGCCCAACTCCCACTGCCTCCCTGTGCCCTCAGAGGAGCACATGGTATCTGGCATGGCATTGTTGCAAAGATGAAGGGACAGGCCCAGGGAGCTCTGCCCACCCTGCTGACGAGATTCCCCAGGGTGGGGCAGAGGGCAGCATCAGGTGGACCACCTGAAGCGGGGCCTGGGGCCCCGGGTTCCCCTCAGCTTGGGCAGCTGTGCTGTAGCCTGGGTGCACTTCAGTCCCTCCCCTGCTGACAGGACCTGCTGGATGAGCCAGATCCAGGACTGGTGACAGGGCCTCGTGACAGGGTCCACTACACTCAGACCCCTGGACAGTGTGAGGACACGAAGGTGTGTGTGAAGCAGTGGGGCATAGGCACCAGCCCGCAGGGCACCACCCTCCAGAGCATGGTGTCAGATCTGCTTGCTGGGGACCACTGCCCGGTTCTCATGTCTCCTGTCCAGACAGGACACGAAGGTTGGCACACACAGTGTACCGAGTGGGTATGTCTGTCTCACTCCACCTGTCCAAAGTGTGTCTGAGGTCCAGCCAGGAGGATTCCTAGAAGGCAAGGAAGAAGGTTCTAGAAGTTTCTAACCCTTCATGGTACCATCCTTGGCAAGGTGGGGGTTTGTTTCTTCTTCTTTGCCTCCCTTGTTGAGACTCATGCCCTGCCCCACAGGGAAGGAGGCCATGCTGAGGCAGCGGGACTACGAGACGGCCACCCTGGCAGACATCCGGGCCCTCATCCGCAAGCACGAGGCCTTCGAGAGTGACCTGGCCGCACACCAGGACCGCGTGGAGCAGATCGCGGCCATTGCCCAAGAGCTCAAGTACGTGAGCGGGATAGCCACTTGAGGCCCCATGGCAGGATAGCCACTCGAGGCCAGCCGGTACCTTCACCCTCCTCCCTTGTAGGACGAGAACCAGAGGGGATCTAGCCTGGCAGGGATAGTCCCAGGACCCCAGACTTTAGGGGTCACAGGGGCTCCCCTCCAAGCAGGCCCCAGCCCTGGGGGTGCCAGCCTCCCAGCCGCGCCTGCCCGCGGGAGTCCAGCCACACACTGAGCCCTTTGTCCCGCGGCCCCGTCCCTCGTCCTTGAGGAGAATGTGCTCATTGTGAGAGCTCCCGGCGGCCGGCTCCTTTGCCCTCCCTTCCCCACCCCAGTCAGATAAACTTGTGCACACAATTAGTACACTGAGCCTGCAGAGCCAGCGAGCGGGGCCTCGTTCTGCCAGCACCGTGGCTGGTCGACTGCAGGGAGGGCCCGGGAGCAAGAGGCCCAGGCCATTACTTCATGGAAAATCCACAGCCCTGGAGGGGCGGCGGAGCTCCCAAAATAGCCGTGTATTCAGAAATAGGCTGGGTAACGGGCCTGCCCTTTCTGCAGACGCCCCCTCCCTGCCGCGGCCCACCCCACGGTCTGCTCCTGGTGCTGGCGCCTCGCCCAGCCACAATAGGCACTGCCCACATGCTCGGCAGGGAGCCAGCATGCTAGGAACCCTATTTGGCCCAGCTGAGGCAGCCCCCAGGGACCCAAAGCTGTCATAGCCAGGCCAAGCGGCATAAGGGCCCTGGGCAGACCCCTGGATGATGGTCACAGAGGGAATCCCAGGCCCGCTCGCTTCTCAGGCACTGGCTAGCAGCCTTGCAGGACCTGTTACCCTGAGAAGCAGGTGTCCCCAAAGTGGCACTGGGCGAGGGAAGCCAGGGGGCATTGTGTGCCTGCTGTCCCATCCCCTGGGCCTCCTGGTGACTGGTCTTAGTGGGAGCAGCAGCAGCTACCCAGGCCCCTGGGGCTGCCATGTGCCTACTTGCTCCATGTGAAGGGGAGACCCCAACACAAAGGTCAAGGGCTGGCCAAAGGTCACGCTGCTAGCCAGGCCACCAACCCTGGAGCCTCCTTTGGTCCTTGCCCACTGCCCATCCCCAGCTGGCTCACCTGTACTCCCCTCTCCTAGCCAGGCCCCAGCGTCTCAGCTCACACATGCTCCCTGGGACCCTCGTGTGAGAGAACGTGAGACTCGGGGTCTGGGGCAGGGAGCAGCTGGTGCTTCTGCAGTCTCCATCATGCAGACACCGGGAGCCCCCTTAACCACAGGCAGAACTAGACCCTGCAGGTTCTGTGCACGTGGGCGGGTGAGAAAGGCTGACTGATACAGTGCCTGCCGGTGCCATAGTGGGAGCTGCCTGAGTCAGGATACAGTGACCTCTGTCTGCCTTGGGGCCAGGAGGCACACTGGGCATTTTCTGGAGAACAGCCCAGGGCTGAGCGGAGGCCACTACACCACCATTCACCTTTGAAACCAACACGCTTTTCCTCAGTACGAGTGCTTGCTTAGAGTGAGGTTGCAGGCTGGTCAAGTGTTGCTTCTCAATGCCTCACTGTTGCCATGAGCCTGCCAGGAGAGGTGCTACCTCACATGTGCTGATCAACCGAGGCCCCATGTGACCCCATCCCCGATTCACAGATGAGCAAACTGAGGCTCCAGAATAGGGAATGTTGGGGTTCACCTAAGTGAGAAACCAGAGTCAGACTCCAAGCCACCTGAGGGGAGCAGCAGGGCCCGGCCTGGCTGAGGGCTGCATGCTGACAGGGTTACCTAGGGGGTGCAGGGGTCTGGCTTGTCCCTGTCTGTGCCCACTGGGCCTCACTGCTGTCTGTCTGGCCACAGCGAGCTGGATTACTATGACTCCCCCAATGTCAACACCCGCTGTCAGAAGATCTGCGACCAGTGGGACGCCCTTGGTTCTCTGACCCACAGCCGCAGGGAAGCCCTGGAGGTGAGGAGGGCGTGGCGCACACCCTGGGCCCCCCAGCTCCTCAGCCCCACGCCAGGTGCCCCCACACTCCTCAGCTGACCGGCTATGTCTCCCTCCCCCTGCGCCCCAGAAAACAGAAAAGCAGCTGGAGACCATCGACCAGCTGCACCTGGAGTATGCCAAGCGGGCCGCGCCCTTCAACAACTGGATGGAGAGCGCCATGGAGGACCTGCAGGACATGTTCATCGTCCACACCATCGAGGAGATTGAGGTGTGCCCCGCCCCCTGCTCCCCAGGTACCCTGGCCGGGGGTGGCTGCCCCTCACGGCTGCTCTTCTCCCTCCCAGGGCCTGATCTCAGCCCACGACCAGTTCAAGTCCACTCTGCCTGACGCAGACCGGGAGCGCGAGGCCATCCTGGCCGTCCACAGAGAGGCTCAGCGCATCGCTGAGAGCAACCACATCAAGCTGTCGGGCAGCAACCCCTACACCACCGTCACCCCGCAGATCATCAACTCCAAGTGGGAGAAGGTGGGCGGCACCGCGGGCAGAGGGGTGCAGGCCGGGCTGGCAGGGTGGGGAGGGGACTGTCCTGACCCTCCTGTGCATCCCCCCAGGTGCAGCAGCTGGTGCCCAAGCGGGACCACGCGCTGCTGGAGGAACAGAGCAAGCAGCAGTCCAACGAGCACCTCCGCCGCCAGTTCGCCAGTCAGGCCAACCTCGTGGGGCCCTGGATCCAGACCAAGATGGAGGTGAGGGTGCCCTGCGAGCTGGGCGGATGGGCGGAGCGGCCAGCCATGGCAACCGGCTGTGGCCGCCAGCTCCAGTGTGGTCTCTCAGCTGGGCCTCCGTGGTCCTAATTCTAAAGTGGGGATGAAGACAGCCCCTCTGTCCCCTCAGCAGACACATCCTGTGTGAACACTGCAGTCTGACAGAGAATAAGGTGGCCTGAGCCCCAGCCCTGAGAGGGCCTGCTAGGAGGCACCTCCAGTCACAGCTGCCTGCAGGCTTGCTATGTGCCACTGCCAGGCAGGGCAGCCTTGAGGCCCCGTGCCAGCCCTTGTGTGTAGCTGTGCAGAGTGAGCGGATGGGGCTGCGCATAGACAGGGGCACAAGGTGTGACATCAGCATCTGCCTCCTGCTGTGATAGATGGCCCTTCCTGTGCCTCAGTTTGCCCGTCTGTAAGCGGGGTGCATCAGAGCCTGGCAAGGCCAAGAGCCCCCTGTCCCAACTGCTTTGGCACAAGAGGGCCAGAAGGGGGTAGCACCTTTCAGAATGGGGACCTCCCAGGGAATAGCCAGCAGTGGAAGAAGCTGGGGGAAGGGCTGGTGGTGGCCGGGGTTGCATTCCTGCCCCCGCTGAGGCCCACCGCCTTCTCTGCAGGAGATTGGACGCATCTCCATCGAGATGAATGGGACCCTGGAGGACCAGCTGAGCCACCTGAAGCAGTATGAGCGCAGCATCGTGGACTACAAACCCAACCTGGACCTGCTGGAGCAGCAGCACCAGCTCATCCAGGAGGCCCTCATCTTTGACAACAAGCACACCAACTACACCATGGAGGTACCGGCCCCGCCCCGCAGCACGGAGCTGCTCCCCGCACCTCTGCCCCACGCCTGCGGTGGCTCGCCCGGTTTAAACATGATTGAAAAGATGAGACCAGAGTATCTGCACGTTAAGCTCTTCCGTTGCCATGATGACGCCCACAGGGGATTTGGGGGAGCTTCAGCGTGGGTGGGCAGCCACTAGCCTGTGCATAGCTTGAGATCAGCCCCGACTTGGATGTCGCCCCGTGCCAGCCACCTGTGTCCCATCCCAGAGTGGGGAGGCCTCTGGGAAGCTTCCCTGCAGATCCTGGCACGGGCACCATGGCTCTGTCTCCCAGAGGGAGACCACGGTGTGCCCAGGCAGGGCTGAGGTGTACAGGAGATGGGGCTGCAGGGAAGCCTGTGCCCACTGGCTCTGCCCTCCCCAGCACATCCGCGTGGGCTGGGAGCAGCTACTCACCACCATCGCCCGCACCATCAATGAAGTGGAGAACCAGATCCTGACGCGCGACGCCAAGGGTATCAGCCAGGAACAGATGCAGGAGTTCCGGGCCTCCTTCAACCACTTTGACAAGGTGGGTGGCTCTGGGGCTGCTGCCGGCCTGTTGTGCCTGTGTATTCCTCTGGTTACTGAGCATGGGCTACACGTGAGGAGATGAGCACCTGCCTGTCTGGGAAGCCCGGCAGCCACTTGGGAGGGTCTTAAGTACCAGCGTTCTCCCCAGTGCCCAACCCACCCTATGCCCTGAGGGCCAGGGGAGCTACCCCCTGCATCCCTGTGGTACAGTGCTAAGGTTCGGGCCTCAGCCCCACTCCCCCCGGGAGGGGTCCATGCCACCACCTACCCCACCCATCATCTCGTCCATGTCGCCTCTAACTCTGTTTCCCTCCCCATGTGTCCCCCGCCCTGGGTCTGCACGTGACCCCCGGCCCTTCTCCCACATCTGTCCGTCCGTCCATCCATCCGTCCGTCTGCCTGCCCACCCGTGGCCTGGTCTCCACTCCACCCCTCCCGCGCATCTGCCTTCGATGGCCCCGGCAGGACCACGGTGGGGCGCTGGGGCCCGAGGAGTTCAAGGCCTGCCTCATCAGCCTGGGCTACGACGTGGAGAATGATCGGCAGGTATGCACGCCAGGGCCAGCTGACTGTGACATTAACCGCTCTCTCTCTCTCTCTCTCCTACTCTGTGCTTCCCCTGCCATCATGTGTGCCATTTCACCGGCTCTCTTGCCGCCTCCCTGCCCTCCTCGTGTCTCCTGGACACCTTCCCTCTTACCTGCTCTCGGGGCTCGCCCCTGTCCTGTCTGCCCGCTGTGCGCGCGGGGCGGCCCCTCTGGCCTCCTCTGCTATGGCTGCGTCCCGGGAGCAGAAGCAGACAGGCAGCATGGACGTGGATGACTTCAGGGCTCTGCTTATCTCCACAGGATACAGCCTGGTATGCGGCCTCGGCCTCCCCCGCCACCGCTCCCGGCCCCTGCTGCCTCCCCCTCCCCCTCCTCCTCCTCCTCCTCCTCCCGGCCCTCACTGCCTGCACAGCGTCCATGTCCTCGGGGACACTCCTCTGCTGCTCCTGCTGGCCTGGGGTCCCTCCGACGACCCTCCTTCCTTAGGAGTCTCCAGAGAGAGGGCGCTCTCGCCCTTTCTCCTTCTCTTTCTCTCTCTTCTTTCTCTCTTCCCCCACATTCCAGGGCTAATTTGAGAGCCTGGGGCTAAAGGGCAGTGGACCTCAGCTGCCCACTGCCAGTGACTGCGGGTGGGAGGACACGGAGGGGCCCTGCCAGACCGGCGATCAGAGGCCGCTGCCCATGCATGCTGGTGGTGGGCTCAGTCCTGCCCAGCCGATCTAAGGGAATGCGTTGTCTGGGTCTGGCCACCCGGGCCGGCCATCCCCACTCACCGCCACCTGCCCTCCCCCACTCCTCACACAGGGTGATGCCGAGTTCAACCGCATCATGAGCGTGGTTGACCCCAACCACAGTGGCCTCGTGACCTTCCAAGCCTTTATCGACTTCATGTCGCGGGAGACCACGGACACAGACACAGCCGACCAGGTCATCGCCTCCTTCAAGGTCCTGGCTGGAGACAAGGTGAGCCAGGGGCTGCCAGGAAGGTTCCCATGGGCAGTGTCGGCTGGGAGGGGCCCGGGGGCATGGCTCAGATTCCCACCCTGCCCTCCCCCCACAGAACTTCATCACAGCTGAGGAGCTGCGGCGAGAGCTGCCCCCTGACCAGGCCGAGTACTGCATCGCCCGCATGGCACCCTACCAGGGCCCAGACGCAGTGCCTGGCGCCCTCGACTACAAGTCTTTTTCCACAGCCCTGTATGGCGAGAGCGACCTGTGAGGTCCCCAAGACCCTGAGCACCCCCTCCCCATGCCTCCCGGAGGGGCTGGGGAGCAGCACCCCTCTTCTGACTCTGTATCTATGCAAAGCACTCTGTCAGTCCTTCTGGGGGTGGGCAGGTGGCCAGGGAGGGGCTGGGGCGGGCTCTCTCCTCTCTCTCTGCAGGTTGGCCAGCAGGGGCTGCCACAGCTATCGGGGTGGGTTGAGGGCTCCTGGATCTGGGGAGTGTAACCGATGGGGCATTGTGCTTTTCTAACCCACATGAGGACAACGGAGTTGTCCCCTAACCCCCACCAAAAAAAAGGGCCCCTCCATGCTCTGGGGCCATTCCTTCACACCCAGGCCACAGCCCCATGTGCCTTGTCTGGGAGCTGCCCAGCCCTGCCAAGGGGCCAGCAGAGGGCGCCACAGCTACTTGATGGGACCAGGGTCCCTCCACCTCCCTATCCTCAAGCCCCCCCAGCTCCATCCTCCACTGACATGAGGAGAGGGGCCCAGCCCAGCACCCTCTTTTTGCCACAGTAAGGAAGCTGTGGTCTCCTTGCTCCCTCAGGCACCCCTGGCCTCACTTGTCTGGACTCAGATTTTCTAAGGACCAAAAAAAAAAAAAGGAAAAAAAAAACAAACAGGCCAAGCAAAAATGTAAAAAAATCACCAAAAAAAAAAATCCACAAAAGCCAAAAAAAAAAAAAAGCTTTCAGAGAATTACTATTTACTTTATTAACTTACGGATTTATTATATAAATATATATTCACCCAGCAGCGTCTCTGCCGCCTCCCCTGCTCTCATAATGAAGACATAGCTGACTGGCTGCCCTGCCCCACTGGCCGTGGGGCCCGGTCCCCCGCCACCCTCGCTGAGGTCGAAGCAGGTTGCCGACCTGGCTGCCTGGTAGTTGATGATGGTTTTGCTCCCCCTTTATTTTTTTTTTTTTGAGTTTTTTTCTGATTGGTTGTATTTTCTTCTTGGTTTCTGGATAAACCACCCTCCTGGGAGACACGATAATAAACGTGTAATATTTTTAAGATAGATTCCTGCAGCACCCTCTGTCCGCACGTCTTTCCTGAGCGAGGCAGGGCACACCAGCCTGGACCCTCCCACTCCGGTGAATGGTGCAGCTGGGGACCAAGCATGTGGCCTGTGCAGGAGAGATGCAGCCGTGCCCAGGCCGAGGGCCTAGGAGAAGGTAGCCACCTCCATCCACTGTGGGAGACAAGGAAGACGGCGTGTTCCACGCGGGGACCTCCCACAGACGAGCCCCCCTCACCATCCGGCCGCATGCTTACCTGTCTGTGGGTCAGGCACACAACCCCCTCACCGCCGTCCAGGTGCTGGCTGCAGTGGCCTACGCAGAAGGGCTGGTGAGTGTGGCGACCCCCCGCCATCCCCCCCGCCGCCCCTCTCCCCCGGCCCCGTGGCACTTACAGAAGATGTAGGTGAGCTGGGCCACGCAGGACACAAAGCGCTCAAAGTCCACACGCAGCCGGCTGTCCCGGTAGCGGCTGGTGAGGGCCTGGGTCAGCTGGTTGTTCAGGTGGAAGCCTAGGGGAGGGTGGCCTCTCAGCAGCCACGCTTCTACCCAGGGGCGCAACTGTAGGCCCCTCTTCCCTTGTCCACAGCGTGGGGCCTAGGCCCGGCAGCTCCAAGACTCCATGTCCTCGGGCCCACAGTCTCACAGGCAGAGGTTCAAACCCACTGTGTGCTATGTAGCCTCATTAGCCATGGGCACAAACCCCTGGTTCCTGACACTCCCACCCAGCCCAGCCCCCTTGGGGCAGCGGGCAGAGCTGCCACATTGGGACCTCCTGGCTTCTAGAGCTACCTCACCACCGCCTCGTGTGCTGTCACCTGACACGTGGCCTGCTGTACTCCGTCTTGGGGTCAGCGTGACCCTGTAGGCCATAGGACCTGCCCCATGCTGTTCTGTTCTGGGATGCTGACCCCAGGCGGACCAAGGGAATACCTGGCCAGGCGGGCCACCCCATTAGCGATACCAGAAAGAGACAGAGCAGGGCTACCCCAGCTCCCAGGAATCTAGAACCTTCTCCCACGCTACCCTGGGGCTCTCAGACACCAGTTCTCAGGCATCTACTCCCCTCCGGACAGCCCCCAGCCACCTCCTCTCACACCATGTGCTCCACCCCCCCAGTCCTCTCCTGCCCCCACCCTCTCTGGGCCACCCGCTTTCTATCAGGAATTATCAGCAAAGCCCCAAGGACATGTCAGAACAGGTCTTCCCACCGTGGCCACCCAGGGCCCCACACCTGCAGCGTTCAGTGCCAGCCTCAGCTCATAGGAGTTCATGGTCCCAGAGGCGTCTTCATCGAACTTGTCAAATGTGGCCTGGGCCGGGAGGTGGCAGTCAGCCTTGCCCCCACCCCAGGGCACCTAAAGAGGCTTGCAGGAGGCACCTGCAGCCAGGCAGCCTGAGTGCCCAGCCCAGCTTCCTGCCAGCTGCAGGCCTCCGCTTGGCAGTCTGTAGCAAGGGCGGGGGCTCCAGTAGCGGCTGAGGACAGAGAGGTCCTGACCGTTTCCTCCTGGGAGCCGGGGCTGCCCACTTGGAGGGAGGGAAGGGGTGGAGCTGGGGCCAGGCGCCACAGACAGTACTCCTGACCCCTGAGCCAATCAGCATCGTGAGGGAGGCCACACCAATAGGTGGGGCAGGGGTAACCCCACCAGATCCCCTCAAGCCACTATCCGCTGATCCCATCCCTGCCCCCAGCTCACCTGCCACCTAAGGAGGTGACCCCAGAGCTGCCGGAAGGCGTGCAGGACAAGGCCTTGCCCGTGCTGGGGAGGGGAGGTTGAAGTCAGTACTTGAAGGGGAGATAAGACCCCACCAGCCACCCTCCCCAGGCCCAGCCTGCGTACCCCAAAACACCGCAGCAGCTGCTCACACGTTCTGAGCCCAATCTCTCTGGGGGTCCGGCTGTTAGCCCTGGCTAAGGAAAGGCGATGGTGGGACTTCCTGTGTACCAGTCAGCCTTGCAGGTCACCCACCCTGGAGACAGGTGCCACACAACCTGGGACCCTGGAGGGGAGATGCTGTGGGGCATAGTAAGGGTTCCCTGCGGGCTTACCAGGCTCCAGGGCAATGCTGAGCAGGGTCTGCAGCTGGGGGGCACTGAGCTCTTCCCCCTGCTCGGGGCAATAACACCCCAGAAGCCCTCAGCATGGCGGTGCAGCCAGCTCAGAGCTCCCAGGGCCCCAAGGGGTCAGGGCGGGGGAAGGAAGTGCTAGACTCACACAGGAGGCAAGGGAAAAGCCAATGAGAGTTCCCAGAGAGGGCACACACCTGGTGTGGGCAGGGGTGGGATGAGAGAAGTGGGCGGGCACACACTGAGCAGAGGCCCTGGGGCAGGACCGAGCTGTGAGCATTTTCCTAAAGGTCTTGGGATGTGAGGAGCGGGGCCAGGCCCTAGGCAAAGGAGGTGTGGGGGTGACTCTAGGAGGGTGGCACCTAGGCAGCACTACCCCTGCCCACCTACCTCACCCACCAGCTCCTGGAATAGCAACTCCAACTCCGGCACCATGGGCACACAGGGGACCTGCGGGGAGTTTAGTGTTGGCCATCAGCCCCTGTTCCTTGGAGCCAGCCTTGTGGTGTGGTGGGTAAAGCCACTGCCTGTGACACGCACTTCCTAACCGGTGCCCCACTAATGTACCTGGGAGGGCAGTGGAGGCAGGCCCCAAAGCCTTTGTGCCCCTGCCACCCACGTGGGGTACCCATCTCTGGCTGTGCAGCACCCAAGTCTTAAAAAGCCGCCTCCTATGCCCTTTGCCTCCATTCCCAGCAGCCTCACCATGAGGGCCTCCAGGTCAGCGCTGATGATGTCATCAATTTCCCTGCAAAAGAAAAAAAGAACAAAAACAGAGGGGCAAGGGGCGGGTCACCCTCCAGCCCCCTGTCCGTCCTTTCCCAGGGTGGGGCAGGACTCACAAGGCCGTGTGGTGGCGCTCGGAGAAAATGCGTAGGGTGAAGTCAGCCTCATCGCCAGCCTGGGCAGCGCTGGGCACCACCAGGTAGTGGCCAGGGGGTAGGCGGCAGCGGCGGCTCACATCACGGCGGGCACAGAAGACCGAGCGGTCGGCTCGCAGCAGCCGGGGCAGGAGGGCACGGCTGCGCGGGGTGTCCCAGAGGCCCAGCAGCTGGGGTCGGGGGTGACGTGACCACGACCGCAGGGCTCCCGCTCCCTTCTCCCCAACCCCCCTTGGGCTCCCCAGCCTAACCTGCCTGGTGCCCAGCGCCCGACTCAGCGCCCACCAGCGCAGGCGGCCAGGCCCTGGGACTGGGACCCCCTCAGAAACCCACCTCCTCCGGAATCTGTAAGGACCAAGAGCGGAGGGGGAAGGTCAGGCCCTGCGCAGAGACCTGTCTGTCCACACCTCTCAGATCCCTCATTGCCCCTGCACTTTATCAGGCTGCCCTCTGGCTCTGCCTGTATCTGACCCCAGCCCAGCCCCTCACACTGTTCCTGAGCGTGCCTGCCATGCCCGCAGCCCCTCCTCATCCCCACCCGGTGGCCCCTGCACCCTGCCAAGGCCTTACCTGGAACACGTGGAAGCCCACAGTGAGGTAGGTGAGGCCCTTGGCCCTTAGGCACCGCCGGTTACGCTGGATAAGCGACAAGAGGACTGTGCACTTGGGGGTGCGCCCACCCCTCGCTGGGCCCCCAGCTCCTGCCGCCCCCCAAACCCCCCAGGGCCCCTCGTCCTCGTCGTCCTCCTCATCCGGCTCCAGCAGTGTCAGCCGGAACTGGGGGTTTGTCCAGAAGGTTTCTGATGGAGGAGGGCACGGGTTATTGCACCTGCCATCCCCGTGCCCCTGGCCAGCTGGCTTCACAGGTCCCCTCAGGCCTCACCAGCACCCGGCTGGCTCCCGCCAGAGTTGAAACCGCGCACCCAGCGGCCTTGGAAGGTGTTGACGTGCCAGGCGCCTCCTGCAGGGCTGGGGCCCAGCACGTCCGGGCTCAGCGAGCATATCTGGACGGTGTTGAAGTGGTGTAGGAAGTCCTGGAGCTCCATCCTGTGCACGGGGTCCAGAACCCCGAAAGGACCCCGGTCAGAGTGCCCCCAGCGGCCCCACGTGTTGCCAAGCAGCCTTCAGCTTCCAGAACCCCAAATCACTGAGCTCTCCAGATTAACCCTCCCACCAGCTTCTCCACGGCTCCTAAGGCATGTCACCCAGCACCAAGATTCACAAACTTGTTAATGGCAACTGAATAAGATGCCTCCCACCCCAACTCTAATTCCCAGTAGGGGTTTCTCAGCCCTGCGTCCCACCCCACCCCACGATCCCACCAGATCTCACAGCACGCCTGAGCCTGGCTCAGTGGGCACCCTCAGTCCTCCCAGGACTACCACACCAGGGTTCTGCAGGAAGTCTGCAGGAAAATGGAATAAACAAGTTTATTTTGGTGCAAAAAAAAAGTTTGGACTTTATGCCTTGGATTCTGGTAATTTCCATCTTTATGAACTTTGCTGTAAGTACGGATTTTTAAAATTTGTTTTGTACCAAAACAGACTTGGTTCCATTTTAAACACTCTAGGGGCTGGCCGCTTGTCCTGCGTGGTGTGGGCAGCTCCTCCCAGCAGGTCATGGCCCACAGCACTCACCAGAACTCGCCGTCCTCCTTTTTCACCAGCAGAGCGTCTCGCCACTCGGTGGGGAGCGAGTCCCAGCGGGGGCAGCTGCAGACACTGGGGTGTGAGGGGTGGCCAGGTCGAGGCTCCCCCACCAGCCTACCCCCGACCCCAAGCCTGGCCCCATCCCACCTGTCACTCCAGGCTCCCGTCCATTCCACGCGGCCCCATGGGTTGCGCAGCCGCAGCAGCCGCACCCTGGTGAATCCCAGGGCCACCTGAGGGCGGCACGGTCAGCAGGGGGACAGGGGACATGGGGATCCTGCTTACCACACCATGGGGGGAAGCTCACCTTGTGCGTGCCCGTGACTGAATATGCGTGTCCCTTCACCAGCCCATCTTCTGTGCGGTACTCGCCCCGGTCACTCTGGGTAGAGGCCAGGGGACAGTGAGGCAAGGTGGAGGAGGAGAGGGTGGCTGCCTCCCCAAAGCAGGATTCAAACCAGAGTGCTGAGCTGAAGCGGTTAGCAGATGAAGGTGGGAGGGGGAAAAGACCCAGAGCTCAGAAGGAGAGAGACTGACATTGCAAGAGAAAGATCCAGAACCCAGAGAGAGAATGAATGAGGAGAGGACTAAGTGATGCCTGGATGACTCAGACCAACTCTGACTAAATGACCTGGGTCACAGGTCATCAGTCAGCCTGGGAACTCAACTCTAAGTTGAGATGTGGTGGCAGAGTGGGTTAACTGGCCATCCCATCTTGGAGCACTGGTTTGAGTCCCAGCTGTTCCACTTCCCATCCAGCTCCCTGCTAACGCACCAGGGAAAACAGCAGAAGGCAGCCAAGGGCTTGGGCCCCTTCACGCCCCAGGAAACCTGGATGGGGCTTTGGCCTGCTCAGCCCTGGCTGCTGTGGGCTTTGGGGAGTGACCTTGTAGAAGACAGATTGCTCTCACCTTCCCTCCCTTACTTTTCCTCCTTCCCTCTCCCTGATATTCTCTGCTTTGCAAATAAATAAATCTTAAAAAAAGGAGGCCTCCTGGGCAGTTTGGGCCCCTGGGACAGAGGGACCTGCAGCTACAGGCCCCTGTTCAGGTCTGTGAGTGAAGCTCAGTCACAACTAGGAATCAACATACTGAACACCTGGATCCAGCCAGGCCTGACACTCACGGTGGTCAGATGTCTTCCTAACTCACTCTAGTTGGACCCCAGAGGGACAGAGACACACGGAGAGAAAGATTGGTTCCCGGCGGCAGCAGCAAAGGGAAGTAGGAGGCAGGCCTGCAGCAGGCACCGGGGACCCACGGTGCGGGTGTCCACCAAGTCCGGGAGCACTCACCAGGGCAGTGGCCCCCACGAGGGACTCCTTGGCCAGGGCTTGGCGCAGGACAGAGAAGAGGCCCGGGGTGTTGTGCCTGAGGTAGATGACCTCGCCCACGCCACCCGTGAAGTCCACAAAAGCTTCATTCATGTGGCCACCTCGCATCACCTCGTAGGAGCCATGGAGCCTGTGGGGGTGAACGCCTGAGGCCGCCCGCCAGCCTGGCCCTGGGGTGCAGGGGTGGGTGGGCTCTGACGCAGGCCACAAGCACCACTGGGGATGTGGGCCAGGGCATTCGTGGGCTGGATCAAAAACCCCTGGATGAATCCCACGGTGGGGCAGGGCCTCGGGGGCGAAAGACTTGAGGGTCCCAAGGTATTTGGTGGGGAAGGCTTGGTTTTCTCTGTGTCCAAGTGCCCACCACCGTGAGGACCCCAACAGCCAGGGTCTTAAGACCCAGGTGTTTGGGACTTGAGAGTCCCAGGGCTTCCAGGCTAGGACTGAGACCCGTGGGCTGGGGTTGGGGGTCCTGGGTTAGGGCTCCTAGACCAGGCTGGCTGCTCACTTGGCATAGGCCTTTTCCAGCAGCGGGGCCCAGAACTCGTTGCGCTGAGCGGAGCGCACGAACATCAGCTTCCCCTCTTTCACGGGCAGCCGGTCGTCCACCACCACGTCCACCCAGCGGCCGAACTGCCAGAGCTGCAAGAAAGCAGCGAGTTCACCTGCAGCTTCCCCCAGTCCCACCCTGGACCCCTCCCCATGAGGTGCAGGAGCCCACCCTACCTGGAAGTGGAAGACCCCGGCATAGCCACTGCCGAAGCTTTGGCCCGGGGGCACCACCCGGCGCAGGAGCCGTGGGTGCAGTGTGAGGGAGGCGGCGGCCGCCAGCAGCCAGCAGTTCCCTGGGAGAGTGTGCGAGCCAGGGCTGAGTGAGGGGAGACTGAGGCACAGGGGTTGGGAGAGGGATGAGGGGCAGGGAGATGGGGAGACCCAGCCACTTGCGGCCCTGGGAACTCACCGAGGCGCCCCTGACACACGTCCGTCCTGCTCATGTCTTCACAGATGAACTGGGGCTCGGCACAGAACTCCTGTGGGGAAGGGGGTACCAGGTCTCAGATGGCAGGAGGTCAGACACCCAGGTCTCCATCCCAACAGCCCCACTCCAGAAATGGGGCCTCTAGTCCCAGAAGGGCATGCAAGGCTGGGTATGGATGTGTGGGTTCCCTGAGCCCCAGGCCTGAGCCTGCTCCCAGCTGGTCCTATCCCAGCCCTCTCCTCACCCTGACCCTGGGGTGCAACCCAGCCCCTTCCCCCACCCTCAACACTGGGGTGCAGCCCAGCCCCTCCTCCACTTTACCCTGGAGGTCCAGCTCCAATTCCTCCCTGCCCCTGCCTCCTGGGGCAGAGTCCACCCCAGCTCCTGTCCCTGACTCTGGCAGTTCAGCTCCAGCCCCACTTTACATGCGGCCTCTTCCATTCCACCCCTTTGGCCTTCTCCGAGTCTGGTCCCAGCAGGTCATAGCCAAGGGCGTCAGGGCCAGCAGAAAAGTAGGGGTCGCAGAACAGGATCCCCGAATCCAAGCACGAGGCACGAATTGCCTCGTAACTCTGGCCACGGAAGAGCTGTGGGCCTCGGGCTCCGACCACTGCCTCATCATCCACCAGTTGGATGGTGACCCTCCTGCCGCTGCCACACGCCATCTGGACGCTGGCCTCCCAGCTGGCCCTCAGCCCTTTAACAGCCTGAGTCACAGGGGGCGGGGCTGAGCCCTGATGGGGGGTCTTTAGGAGCAGCCCATCCTCATTAATACTAATTGCTGGGTAGCAGAGCTGGGGCGCAGGGACGCCTCTTCTGTGGTTTCTTCCCCGGGGCGTGGGGCCCTCAGTTGTGGCCAGGGGAGCAGCTTAATGGGCTTGGCCAGCAGCAGGAGGGAAGGTGGGCAGAATAGAATGAGGACCGGCCACGCTGCACGAGTACCAAGAAGGAGGTCAGTGAGGGGGGTGCGTATACCTCTGTGTGTCCCTGTGGGGACTGGCAGAGAGGCACAGCTCCCTGTGTCTCTGTCCATTGTCCCTCTCCAGCCTGCTTCTTAAAATTTATTTGAAAGGCAGAATTACAGAGATAGAAATCTTCCATTTGTTGGTTCATTCCCCAAATGGCTGCACTGACTGGGGCCGGGCCAGGTCAAGGGTAAGAGCCTGGAATCCTGTCTGGGTCTCCCCTGTGGGTGCAGGGCCCAATGCCCTGGGCCGTCCTCCACTGCCTGCACAGGCGCAGCAGCAGGGAGCTGCACAGGAAGTGGAGCAGCAGGGCCGTGACACAGGACATGGACAGCAGCTGCGCCACATCGCTGCTCCTGCCTCTTTTGGTCCACCTGGGTTCTCCTTAGGTTTCAACTGGATCTCGCTTCTGCCTTGCTTCCTCCTGGGGGTCCCCCTCCCCCCCCACACACACACTCAGGCTCCAGCTCCTCTTTCATGGGGGAGGCTCACCCCAGCCTGGCCTCTGAGGCGGGGCTGTGGGTGGAGCCAGGCTGTGCACCTGCAGTGCAGGGAGCTGGAGATGGGGCGGGGATCCTATTGCACTCACCTGGTCCTGCGCTCAGCTCAGGGCTCATGGCTCTGGTGGAGGTGCTGGAAGACACAGGGGAAGCTCACCAGTGCCTGTCCTACATCCCCCGACCCCAGCCAGGGGTCTGCCACCCAAGTAGAGCCCAGTCACCTTGGGGACACTCGGGGGTCACCACCTGTTCCATCGGACCCAACAGGTATGGTCCAGGACCTAGTTGCAGCTCCCCTTCCTGTGAAACTGGTGAGGCGTGCCAAGGCGGGGCCTGCACCTGCTAGCAGTGAAGCTGTAGGCCTTGGTTCGAATCCCAGCTCCACTGCTTGCCCCTGGGCATCTCTGGACGAATCACTTGATCTTACTGCTCTAAGGGTTCCTTGTCACCACCACAGGGGCCTTGAGAGGTCTCCCCAGGAAGGCCGTTGTGAGAAGCAACAAATGTGGGGTGCACTGAGGGGATGGTGCTCAGGCAAGGAGCGGGTGTCCTGGGGGTCCTCCCTTGCCAGGTCTGCTGCCCGGGACTGTGCTGTTTGTCACATCCAAGGCCACTTCTGCCTGTGTCTTTGCTATCACTGCCCAAGGTCACAAAGGTCACAGCCCTTCCCCCTCTGCACCATTGACCACAGGGAAAAGTGACCAGGAATGACCCAGGGCCGCTCCCCCTCACTGCACCCCCTTCTTGGGCCACCACACTATAGGGCTCCGTTCACATCCCTCCACCATGCTGCAGGCCACGCCCAGGCCCCTCTCCCTCCTCACACACCTTGCCCAGCTGGCTGGCAGTAACGAAGGGCTCATGTCAGCTACTTTGCCAGTCCTACATCATTTCCTCTTTCTCAGGAAGCAGCACCCCACTTTTAAAATATATCTATTTGTTTGTAAAGGCGAGAAAGAGATCTTCCAACCATGGGCTTACTCCACAAATGGCTAAGACTGGTCCAGGGCTGAAGTCAGGAGAATCCCAAACTCAAGCACTGGCCATGGCCTTTGGCTTCCCAGGCAGATTAGCAGGGAGCTGGATGGGAGGCAGAGATGGGACTTGAACCTGGGCTTCCCATTTAGGATGTAGGCATCACTACTGGAGGCTGAGCCTGCTGTGCCACAACTCACGCCTTCCATCATGACTCGGGGGATCCTCTACCCCCTGTTCTCAAGCCTGGCTGCTTCTGCAGGACCGGCCCCACCCCCAGCCCCAAGGGGATGGGATCCGACCCCAGACCTGCCAATCTAAGCACAGCAGCCTGTGGCCACTGCCCCTGTCCCCCAGCCCAAAGCCCCTGAGCTCCTTGTAAATCCTGGCACGAGGGACCTGCCATGCCAGCGCCATATGTCACCTTGTATTACAATTACAGTGAAAATCAATGCATAAAATTTAGAAGTTTAAGAACTGAAAATATGGGGTGAGGGCCAATGCTATAGTTCAGTGGGTTAAACTGCTGTCCACCAGGCCAGCACCCCACAGGACCTTCCATTTGAGTGCTGGCCATTCCCTGCTAACGTAACTGAGAAAGCAGTGGAAGGTGGTCCAAGTGCTTGGGCCCCTGCACCCGTGTGGGAGAGCCAGATGGAGACCCTGGCAGCCATTTGGGGAGTAAACCAGCAGAGGGAAGATCAGTCTTGCTCTTTCTCTCTCCCTCTCTGTTAACCCTTTTAAATAATTTTAAAATGTTAACTCATGGTCAATAAGCTTCATTTATACCCCACCCACTATTCCCACTATAAAATAACTCACAAGATATCTAAGCATTGTTCCCCTGGCAACAACAGCACATCAACGCCTGTCTCTAAAAGCTGGAGCCGGGTGGGCACTGGCCGCCCGCTGAGATGCCCCATGGCTTGTTGCATCCCATGTGACAGTACCTGCTCACCTGCCAGCTTGGCTCTGGATCCTGACTTCTCTGCCAGTGTGTATCCCGGGGGGCAGCAGACAGTGGTCCAAGTGCACAGGCCACCGCACACACACGAAGACCCGCGGGACGCGCTGGCTCCCGGCCTCAGCCGGGCTCCGCCTCAGCTGCACCAGAGCCGCCATGGCTTCCAGAAAGCAGCCCAGGAGGAAACGGACACGGGGAGGTTGGTTCCAGGAAAATGTGGGGCCCTACTGTCAGGTTCAAATTCAAGTGTTTCCCCAGATGGGGGCACCCTGTCCCTCCCAGCACAATCCCCCTTCCTCCTGGGGTGAGGCTAGCATCAGGAACCTTCCCTAAAGCTCTATTTTCACACCAGGGATGGTCTCCCAGTGAAACTGTTGAACTCATCTGGACAATATGATGCTGGACTCTATGCATGGTACATGCTTGCAATGAGGGAATCATGACCGGATATGAACTGTACTACTGCAACAATGTGGAGGAATCCAACATGGGGGAGGGCAGGGGGAGGGGTTGGGGGAATCCCAGAGCCTATGAAACTGTCACAAAATGAAATTTAAAAAGTCCCTGGCCCGGCGACGTGGCCTAGCTGCTAAAGTCCTCGCCTTGAACTCACCGGGATCCCATATGGGCGCCGGTTCTAATCCCGGCAGCTCCACTTCCCATCCAGCTCCCTGCTTGTGGCCTGGGAAAGCAGTCGAGGACGGCCAAAAGCCTTGGGACCCTGCACCCGCGTGGGAAACCCAGAAGTTGTTCCTGGCTCCTGGCTTTGGATTGGCGCAGTACCGCCCGTTGCGGTCACTTAGGGAGTGAATCATCAGACGGAAGATCTTTCTCTCTGTCTCTCCTCCTCTCTGTATATCTGACTTTGTAATAAAAATAAATAAGCCTTTAAAAAAAAGTCTCAAAGTGAATCTAATAAGTGGGCTTATGGAATGGCTGGGCTTAGTTTGTAAGGCAATGATTTTAAGTAGTTTAATTGTGAAATTTTAAATCATACAGGCAAGTGAGGAAACACTCTTAAAAACATAAGCTGTTCTTCACTGTAGTTGTAAGGGACCACCAGTTAGTTTCTGATAACTCCTATTTGAAATTTGATTGATATTGTATTGAATATGCCTGTCTCTGCACAGCCTTTTCATCTTTCTAAGTGGTGTGCCTTTCCATTTTGTAAGGATTTTTTTATGTGCTCAGTAAAACTGTGTAACTTTTTCTGTTGATCTCACAATCTTTTAAAGGAAGGTTCATAAACAAATTCTGATTCTTCTAAGTCAAAAGTCTGAGTTACTGTATCCCTGATGGTCTGTTTTCTGAATGAAAAATGTAATAGTACAATATTCGATGGATATTTGAAGAGTTACAACAGGTGTGTATTGTGAAAAGGTTATGCATGGATTTCAGAATTTGGTTATCCAAAATAAAGATTTTTTCAAATAGTATAAAAATAAAAGAGCCTTCTCTACACTCTGCCTTCACAGATACATAAATACAAATGAATAGAAAAACTAAAACTTTTAAGAAAAGATTTACTTATGTATTTGAAAGGCAGAAGGCGAGAAGTCTTCCACCAGTGGTTCACTCCCTCGATGGCCGCCACTGTCTGGAGTCTGGCGGCCGGGATGGCATCCGGAGCCCAACGCCTCATCAACCCCGCGGCTCTCCCGGGGGCATCCGCAGGAGCTGGGTCGGAAGTGGAGCAGCTGGGACTCAAACCCATCCCTTCTCAATACTATAATCTGAATAACAGTCACACCTAAAAACCCTCAAGGTCATCGGATGTTGTCTCCCTGCATTCCCAATGTCTCATCAGCATTGTCCAGCTCCTACCGGGACTCCATGGGCATGGCGTTGGCACAGGAAACTAGCTGTAGGACCAGGAGGTTGAGGCACCAAAATGCTGTTAAAGTCAAAATGAGGCAGCCAGCTTTGTAGTGCAGTGAGATCATCTCACAGAGACACTGGTTCAAGTCCTGGCTGCACCACTTCCCAGCCAGCTCCCTGCAAATGCACCTGGGAGAGCAGTGGAGGACGGGCCAAGCACCAGGGTCTGACACCCATATGGGAGACTCGGATGGAGTTTGACTCCTGGCTGGCCCAGACCAGGTTGTTGTAGCTGTCTGGGGAGTGAGCCAGTGTGAGGGCTTTCTCTCTCTGTTTCGTATCAAATAAAGATTAAAAAGCCCACAGATCCAACGCCCGTGCGTGCTTGGGCGTGAAGCCCACCTGGTGTGTGTCTCAACAGGGGTGGGGCAGGGGGGCCCAGG